CCGCTCAGCTGTAGGGGTTAGTTTCTTCGCTGGCCCTGGCCTTTTGATGGTGTTGTAGGCCGCAGGGTCGAATAGGAGCGCGCTCACGACCGGCCTCGAGCGCTTGACGCCTCTGGATATCGCTCTTTTGCTTAAACCTTGCTTATGTAGAGCAAGAATTGCCCCCTTTTCCCTCTCAGTCAATGCTGGTCCTCTTGGCATTGAGACTGGTGCCAACACAAACCACAGTACATGAGTAGAAACGTTAGAATCCAGGCCATAACACACTCCTGTTTGAGGGCACTAACACGGCGTTTACCTGAGGAAAAGCGAGGTGGCAGTATAGCTATCGCCGCCCAATCGACAAGGCCATTCACCGTTTTGGCTGCCTTGAGGGGGGGGGGGGGGGGCAAGTTGGCAAATGCCACGAAACGGCCACCATTCGATTCGTATTGACACGGCCTTTCAATTGGTCAAAACAGGTTCGTCTAGAGTAGCTTTTTGGATGAAATACAGAGAAAAGGGGGAAAACTATGGAGATCGAGGTTACGGAGATCGAGGTGTAAGTAATATATAAAAAGTGCGATAGGTAGGAATTAATTAAAAATAGATCTCACAAGCATGACTAAAATAGACAGACTATATATGGCCTAGAGTACCAAAATTAACATTAAAACTCGGGCAGTTGTTGCTGGTGTTAAATGCCATTCTCCTATAATGGCGACACCTGCAAGTACTCCAACTTCCTTCAGTATTTCCCCGCTACCGGAGAATGTCTATGATTCATACGACGATGCCGAAGCCGCTCTTCATGCTTGGAATCGGAGAAAGGGAATTGACGTCACTAAAGGCCACCACAAGAAAAACAACGCCAAGGAGATATGGCAGCGTGACTTCAAATGCGACAAATACGGACAAACGCAGAACAACCGCCACTTTACTGAAGAAGAGAGAGTTCGAGTACAGCGAGGGACAAGTAAAATTGGCTGTACAATGAAAATTCGGCTTGAAGCTGTCAACAAGAACGATTGTTCAGGAAGATGGAAAATTGTGTACTTGAAAGGATCCGCGCTACACACTCACCCAGCTTCCGAAGACCCCAGTATTCATCCTGGGCATCGACGTCGGGACATGCAGCGTCTTGTATCGTCGGATCTGTCAACACAAACATTGATTTCCTCTCAAACCGCTGTTGGTATCGCACCTGCGGCTGTAGTAGCAACCATTCGCCACGCTCATCCTGAAACATCAATACTGGCGAAAGATGTGGCGAATCACAAGAGAGTGGACCGACGTGAGGCGCTTGCAAGCAACACACCAACGGAGCTGCTATTGAAGCAACTGTCTACGAACAAATTCTTTTTCAAGTATAAGGTGAACCCCGGGACTTCTCGCTTGCAATACTTGTTCTGGTCTCATCCAGGTATCAAACAATTTTACAAGTGGAATTCAGACGTTTTGATCATGGACTGCACATACAAAACTAACGCGTACGACTTGCCGCTCTTGAACATTATCGCAATGACGAACATGAACACCGTATTGCCAATAGCACAGTGCTGGCTATCAGGTGAAAAGGAAGACGACTTTTTGTGGGCTCTCGAACAACTGCAATGTATGATGACAGAGTATGCTATATCAAAGCCTACGATCATAATTACAGATCGGGACCAGGCGTGTATGAACGCGTTGGATCGCTCGTTTCCTGATGTTCCATCTCTCGTCTGCCGTTGGCACATGTATCGCAACGTGTTGGCCAAGACTAGAACACTTTTTGGACAAGTTGAGATTGAAAACCCCGCTCCTGGCCAGGATAAGTACGAGAACACGGTTGCAACAGATCAGTTCATGGAGCTATACTATGACGCTGTTGAATCTCCTTCGGAAGCGGAATTTGAATCGCGCTGTGCTACTATTCGTGAGTTTAGCGTGGAAATGGCAGATTATTTGGACAAACACTGGTGGAAATACAAATCTAAGTTAGTTCATTGCTGGACTTCCCAGTACTTACATTTTGGATACCGGGATACATCTGCTGTGGAGGGCACACACGCCAAGTGTAAACGCTGGCTTGAGTCTGCCCGTGGAGATCTGCTCACTGCATTCGATAAATTGCTGCCATGGTGGAAAAATTGCATCAAAAACGTTTCTTACGGGGTAGAACGCGACGTCAGCACAGTCTCTCACCAATTGCAAGAGGAGCAGTACACTGGTGTCGTCCTTTTCATTAGCAGATACGCACTTCAAAAAACCTCGGAACTGTGGAAGATAGCTCATCGGATCGTGAGAAAGCAAGAGCCGATAGAGGCTTGTACTGGTGGTTTTAGACGCTCCAACGGAAGGCCATGTGTGCACGATCTTATCGAAATTGTGAAGTCACAACGTCACCAAAATTGAAAACCGAGCACTTTCACGAGCACTGGTTAACAAGAAGGGGTCGTACAGAGAACTGTGCATCTAGAGTGCTCGATCCGGCTCCTCTAAAGCCTAACAGGTCAACAAAGCGTAGGAAAACTCACAAGAAGAACCACGGATTGTCTGGTACGGCTCGGGACCCCACCTTCGCCGATAGAGTCGACATGAACAATCCAGCGCCCCGATCGGATCCAGAAATGACTTTTACAAAATATCTTGTGACAAACACATCACCGCTTCATACACTCCCAACATCAACCAGGCAACTCCCGTCTCTGAACGAAGTATTAAACCAGAGATCTAACATCAGCGCGCAAGAGCAGATCCCAGACAGCCAAGGCCAGACAACGGATACAACAAACCAACCATTCTATTACGAGTTTTTACCTCCTCGTGGTTGGGGACGCGCGGGTCGTAGACCGTTTTAACCCAGTACAAGAGACGTTCTGGTACATAAACTGTTGTTTAAACTAAAAAACTTTAAGAATATGTTATATTTCATTGTAATATTCATGCTTTCATATCAATAGCCGCAATATTTTCAGTGGCTGCAAGTCGAGGACATACATCTTAAGACCGATTTTGGCTTATTCAGATTTATATCAGTGCTTTCAACACGCTTTTGGTGCTGTTAAGAGTGGTTTTTGCAAATATAAGTTCATTTTTCGTAAATCGTAAGAGAGACTTTCGTGTTGATCTAATGCTTCATAATTGAGAGCAACACGGTCACTAATGAGACCAAAACAATAAAGAATTTTGAGCGGCACAAAACAAAGTTATTTGCGATTTAGTCGCTGGAGGCGAAAGTTCAGCTGAGCTTCACTCGCTGGAATCTTGGAGAGAAGAGTGTCGAGGATCTTGCTGAGTGGGTCGTGAGTAAGAGAGATGCCCCACTTACGCCTGAGATAGTACGCTTTGTTTTGCGACTTCCTGCGTTCCTTCCTCTCCGCAACCCTCTTCTTTTTAGCTGTTTTACTGCAGCCAAACTTCTTTTTGAGATGGCGGGTCTTCGAATACTGGGACGCGAATACCTTTTTGCATGTTGAGCATCGCCGAGTGGCGATTGAGCCTCTGCCCGTAGGTGCTTTTGCTTTTGTGTTGGTTGCCGCCATTTCAAAAGTGATACATGTATTGCCCACATCCATTTGATGGTCAAATTGGTGGCGCACAACCACACTATAGTAATACCTATTTTTAATTAATTCCTACCTATCGCACTTTTTATATATTACTTACACCTCGATCTCCGTAACCTCGATCTCCATAGTTTTTCCCAGAAAAAAAGGGGGTGGGGTGGGGTGGTGGCAGTATATCCACCGTCAGCACTGTATAATGAGCCCCTTTAGTAAATAAAAAACTTTGCTGTCATAAAAAATATTTTCCCCATTTGTTCGAGTGAACACCATGCAGTTGCACAATCGTGGCACGAGACGGAAAGCTCTTACTTGAACTGCAGTCCCCACCACGAGGTGAAGAAAGCCAGGATGAAAGCGATAGTGACACTGAGATCATCACTATCGACTTGGCCACGCAGCTTCTCAATGTCGTGCCCAAGAAGAATAAAGCACGATGCGACCTCGAGTACTACCCACCAGTGGCTACTATGAGCGGAGACGTCTTGAAAGAAGAGCTCATGGCACCGTCGGCTGCTCAATGTCAGCAGTGGATGGTGCAGGTTCGACGTGTCCAGCAGCAGGCTCACCAGCAACGAAGACCAGCTTCCAGCTCTTCAACCAGATCCGGAGCTTCACCTGTTGCTCCACTGCCTTCACCTACGAGTGTTGCCGAGCTAACCGCAAGTAGAGAGAGCAGGACGTCCACAAATGATGCTGCAACACCGTCTTCTATGTAGTCCAATATTATTAGAGAACACTCCCCATTGAGGAGACGAGGCTCTTGTGAAATGTCAAGTTCGGAGCTAGCACAACCAGAGGTGGACTATACACGAAAACATGGCATCAGAGATCTCTGATACATTACCGGAACGTCCAGCAGTCGTCTGTCGAGTCCGCGAACGCTGCGACGATCGACCCGCAGTCAACAATAGCGATCTCGACTACACGGTTGATTCTTCCGGTGGCTCACCTCCGCTCGTATTTGAGCCTGCGCACTCAGCTTCGATATCGTCAATCTCTTCTGTCTCAACAGCAATACCGCCGCGTGATGGTACACGAGTAGCTGCTGTAGAGCGCTAGCACACAGAAAGAATACCGACGCAAGGCTGACTCTTTTAAACCAGCTGAACTGCAAGACTAGGCATCCAACGCGAAGATAATGAACTCTAGCAAAATTTGACAATATAAAAACATTTTCACTCTAACACGCTCCATTTCCGTCAGCATCACTCCACCCACTGACGTTTACAACCGTGCTCCACGCCACAATCGCTCTCCTCACTTTATGCATTGTGCTGCTATCGCCAACTTGCAGGCGCTTCCAGTGCTCAAAATTCTGGATCTTCGCCGTGATGTTCTTCGATAAACGCGTTGTAGAGCTTGTGCCGATCCTGGCCCCATGTATTGCTAAGTGTACGTCACGCCATCCTCACAAGAAAATGAAGCGGAGCGTAAATGTGTGATGACGTTCCCGACGATTATGCGTTGAGGGCTGGTCTATTCAGCTGAACTTTGGAGTCCTGCCTGTTGCTTGTGTGTCTGCTGGTTCACTTGGTCACGAACCTGTGAAGCCTTGTGCAGTAGTTGAATCATTTGTTCCTTAAGCACAGGGTCCTCCTTGGGTCTCTCGCGACCTTGTACAACCATAGACGTCTCAGAGTAGCTGCTCAGCGGCACGAGATCAGAGGAACCGGCGTTGTTAGTGAGTTGTCCGCCATTCTGACGCGCTGGTACAATTTGAGAGGATGCTGCCATAGCGCGTGCAACTTTATTCTGTGCTTCTCTTCGCTCCTGCACCATAACCATGGCCAAGTGTGCCAAGTTCTGCATAGTAGCGATCTGCGACTCTTGCAGAGACTCTCGAGGTGCCGTATCCAGCACGCACACTGCACCAACACACTCATTGTCCACTGTGAACAGCGGTGCGCCGGCCAAGAAGCGCACACCTAATGGGCCAGTCACGAACGGATTCGTTCTGAAGCGTGGGTCGCGTAATGTATCCATGACCACAAGTGGTCGCTGGTCCCGTACCGGATACTCGCAGAAGCTGAAGTCGCGCGGCACTTCGGACTCCTTGACGTTCACAGCACTCTTGAACCACTGACGGTTCTCGTCCACCAGACTGACAACCGCGTATTTGCAGGCCAGTGTCTGAGCTGCCAGATCACAAAGTGTATCGTAGATGTCCACCTGCTCTTCAGTGGTTCCCACGTCCTTCTGCTGAGAATCTATACGTAGTCGTTCCATCAGGGCATTGACCATGGCCTTGCTCTCCTGGTCTCTAGCTGCTAATTGCTGTAGCCAGGCAATTCCAACGAGGTCAGGGACAGTAGATACCTGAGCACCGGGGAGCGCCAAGGCGTACTCTTCCACTGCGTCTCGCAAAATAGCGTTGTCCACACCTTCAGGCAATGCAACACCGTCAGCTGTGACCCCACTTGCTGCAGCAGCCACAGCCGCTGCAGCCTTGAGATTGGCCTCCTCCTTCTCGCGATCGGCGGCAGTAGTGGACGTTCCATCCATGCAGGCTTTGCATACGCGTAGTGTGGTTAATCCCACAGACTGTAAGTCCACACTCTTGTAGACCGAACACGCCCTACAGATGATCTCTCCACATGCGCGACAGTGGTGTTTACGTCGCGTATTTGTGAACGTCTTCAGACACAAGTGGCAGCACGCGCGGTCCTTGTCGTTCACCCACGTGGGCACTCGACGTTTGGTCAGTTCCTTGGAGATACGTCGTCGACTGATGGCTTCTTCGATGCCACCTACACATTCAGCCCAATGCGCCAAGAGAGCGCGGTTCCAGCGACGTTTACTGCGTGCTCCTGGCGGCTGTCGGATGCTGCAGACGAACGTGGCTTCGACCACGCCGTCGTCCACGTGGGGACGGAAGATGAAGCCGCACTTGGACACACTAGCGCGCTCGAGTTTGTGCGAGTCATAGAGTGATGGACACTCAGCCTGGTCGATTGACTCGTAGAGACAGACGCCCACAGGTGTGCCCTTGGTAGAGGACGAAGAGCCTTTCAGTGTACTGCTGTTACCGTCCACGAGGTTCGAGGAGATGACGCCAGCGTATTCGAGGAAGCAAAAGTCGACGCCCACATGTCCGCCGAGACTGGCCACACTCTTCTTCGTGCGCGCAGCCGTCCACTTGATGCTCAGCGCCTCCGACTCATTCTGTTCCTTGTGGAAGAGGACAGCAGCATCGGCAAAATACTCGCGAAGCTGCAATTGCATGAGCGAGCGGTAGTCCACCGTGTTCTGCGCCAGAAAGATATCCATGACGTCGTCCAATGACGCGCGTACGGGGCCTACAGCGCGGATAGAGTACGTGAGTCCGCCCTTCTGCCGGTCTTCACACAGCTGGACGCCCTTGCGCTCGTTGATCATTGTCCACTCCACGTCAGGCTGACGCACCAGGTCGGGCACGAGCGAGCGGCCCCAGGCCAACAGCTCGGCCTGGTCGGCGTCCGACAGCTCTGGAGCCTTGAAGAAGCCGCTGCGCAGCGGCAGGGACCGCACCATGACAAGAAGACTCTTGCTGCTGTTCTAAAAGGGAAAATGCTGGTGTATACTTCAGCCAAGACAAGGCGACTGGCCCTATTGTTGTGCGGTCGTCTGGCAAGCAGACTTCGGAAAGACGATATCGACTTCGGGGAGGAAAGACAGAGACGAGTCGACGTGAGTAACGTGGAGTTGGGACAGTGTATTCCTGCCACAGAACGTTTGGTGGTGGAAGATGTCTTGTTTATGCAACGCGATCATCAAGCACGTCGCCCCTCCTGAATGCAAGGTGACCACATAGTTTACTGGATGGACGTATGGCGTCACGCCATCTGATGCGTTAGATGATGCCATATATTTTCACTTTAAAGTGATGCAGTAAAGAAGGTCATCCCTCACGCAAGAGACACCGGACGCTATTGGTGGTTAGAGCAACACATTCTTTGCCACCATCTGCATACTCACACCAGGATCACCACCTCGAAAACTTCAACGCGAGTCAACGCTGGACTGTAGCCACATTATAATAGATCGAACGGAGCAGTAACGTCGTGACGGGTTCGCGGCACACGGAGACCGATAGCCGCCAGGCTATCTCTCACTCAACCCAGCAAACACGGTGGCTGTTCGCTGAGCTGTTCGACGGCATGTTGTTACTCTCACTGCGCACCACGTGTCCACGGTATGGTCAAGATGGGCCGGGCGATAAACCTCTTATTAGTTATATTCTTGATTTCATCGTTGATATAGTAATTTAGAGGAAACACGGTGTTTGCCATGCCACATTGCTGTATATATTCAACATGCTTCATTGGACTTCGCGTAAGCGTCTCCGACCTTGAGCTAGCGTGAAATCTTCAAAGCAGTATAGGAGAGTCAAACAGGGGCAATTATCATTGCACACTTACGGATTTAAACTCAGAAGGTATCCAGGACACTGCACCATAATTCTTCTATATTTTCTCTTTGTAGTAATTAGCTATTTACCCATATTTCTATTTGAAGGACATTATTTACTTGAAAGTTTGATTATATCGTTTATTAATGCTTCTTGAGAGGCAATAACATACTAGCGGAGAGGTCTCAGCACAGCGAATTCGCGCCATCCGGTGGCGTGCATAGCCGAGTCAATGGTTTGAATTGGTGACCATCACTCCTTCCGAGTCCCCCCATCCACGCAGCCCCCTCTCGCTCCCGCCTCCCCCCAATTTCTGCCGTTCACGCACTCCTAAAGCCACCAGGAAACACTCGCGTTGGGTAAAGCGCGGCAAACGTCAGGAGACACCCACAGCCCCACGAGGCCTCCCAGCCGTCGTTGACTCTTATAGCAGGTCTGTAGCATTCGCGCCTTCTCCCTCCTCGCCACGTCGGCCCACTTATCCCCCCCTCTCTATTAGACACACCCATGTACACGTCGTCCGCCCCCGGACCGGCCCGTGGCCGCGGCGGCAACCCGAATGCGGGTGTGCCGCCTCCACAACAGCAGCAGCCGCAGCAGCTCCGTGGACCGACGTCAGGAAACCCTGGAGCCCCTCCACAGCTGGCCACAGCGGCCACGAGCCGTGTAGGTGAGATGCTTGACCAGGTGAAGGCCGAATACGAAGCCGCCATCCAACAGCTCAACATGGCCAAGATGGAGCAGCTCGAGATGGAGCGTAAGATCCAGTCGCAGGTCGTGGAAATGGACCAGATCCAGCAGTCGCTCAAGGCGCTTGAGGCCAACCACCGCCGCATTCGCCAGCAGTACGAGGAGGACATGTTGCGTATGCGCAGGCAGCTTGAGACTGGCCAAGTGCCGCAGCAGCAGCAGGTACCGCCACAGCAGCAGGCCGTGCCGGCCAAGCTCCCGGCCAAGCGCTCGCGTGCTCCGCCCACTAGCGGTAGCATGCAGGAGGATTCGACCTCGCTCATGTCAAATCTTGTGGCCGCAGCTACGTCCTCTGGCCGCGCTGGGGCCGCCAACACTCAGCAACGTAGTGGCAGTTCCCCTGTGCGCGTAGTGCCCGTCCAGCCGGCCTCGCGAAGCCTGCAGCAGCTCGGCCAGCAGCCCCCTCAGCTTCCGCCTCCCCCTCAGGGTGGCAACGCGAACCCTCCGCCACAGCTCAGTCCTCTGGACACGAGCAACGCCAACACGACTCCGTCTTCACGTCGCATGCCCAGCATTAACAGCGAAGTGAACGGCAAAGACCGCGCAGCCTCGCCGCCGGCCCTGAAGAAATCCAAGCTCAATGGCTCGGAGCCCAGTATCCCCAGTCTTAACGGAAATGGCAAGGGCGCGCTTCCTTCCGTTAGTTCGGCTGGCAACAGTGCGCCTACATCGAGTGGGATGCTCCCGCAGGTGTCCAAGATGAACCGTGAACAGGGATCAACCAGCACGAACTCAAGCCCCAGTGCCGCTGCTAACCAGTCCCAGAACACGCCATCGAACGCTACAAAGACCGAGGGTGAGAACACTGAGACCAGTCGTCCTTCGGCCAGTGCGACGACGACGCTGTCAGCAGCTTCGGGCAACAATACGACGCAGAAGAGCTCGAACACGAAAGCTAGTCGTCTCAACTGGAGTTGTGTATACTCATCCAAGACGAGCATGTCGTACCAGGAGTCAGAGCGTCCAGCAGCTGAGATGCACCAGTCTATGGACCACCAGAGCGTTGTGTGCTGCGTGCGCTTCTCCTCGGACGGTACAATGATGGCTTCGGGCTGCCACAAGACGGCACAAGTTTTTGACGTAAAGACTGGCGACCGCAAGTTCCTGGTCTCTCGTCCTGCTGGATCCGGACAGACTCCGACGTCTCAGGCTAATGCCGCAGCTAACGAGCCTGATGACGCGTACGTTCGCGCTGTTTGCTTCTCGCCAGACTGCTCGAAACTCGTTGCTGGAATGCCGCAGAACACCATCCGTGTGTGGGATATCGCTTCGAACGAGGAAGGCCCGGCCATGACTGGCCACGAGTCAGAAATCTACTCGCTGGACTACGTGAACGATTTGATTGTGTCTGGTTCGGGTGACCGCAAGGTGCGTCTCTGGGATCCTCGCAACGGCCAGTGCAAGAAAATTTTCGGTAACGAGAGTGGCGGTCCCTCGGACGGCGTCACGTCGGTGGCGTTATCTCCGGATGGACGGCTTCTTGCTGCTGCGTCACTGGACAAGGTTGTACGGATTTGGGACACGGAGACAGCACAATTGCTGGACCGACTGGAGGGCCACAGCGACTCTGTGTACTCGATCGCTTTCTCACCTGATGGCAAGAACGTGATTTCTGGCTCGCTTGACCGCAACATCATGTTGTGGGACGTGTGTGCTCAGGGCCGCACAACTACACGGCCGCGCATGCTTTTCCAGGGCCACAAGGACTTTGTGCTCTCAGTGGCCTACACGCCTGATGGAAGGTGCGTTCTCCTGTCACGTATTGCTTATATTGGACTTTATTGCTAACTGTATACTGTTGCTGCTTCAGGTGGTTGATGTCCGGTTCCAAGGATCGATCTGTGGTTTTCTGGGATCCGCGTTCGTCTCGCTCTGTGCTGACATTGACAGGCTACCGGAATTCGGTGATAAGCGTGGCGTCGTCCCCAGCGTCCCCCTACTTTGCAACGGGAAGCGGCGACTGCTTTGCCGTCATCTGGAAGTACCAGTGCCAGACTTTTTAAACTATACAGGGACGACGATCCAGTCGACGCGATGCGACGAAGCACTCATAACAGCAAGTTGAACTCGTACGACCACGTGAAGCGCAGCGGAAGATAGTGACGCTTGCGACAAGCGCGCGGTACCGGGCAGTCTTGTGAGTGATGTGTGTGCTTATTAGCGAGCGCGAGACCGAGAAGATCGAGAGAAAGAGGCATCGAAACGAATCAAGACAGAAAAAGAGAAAACTTTTGTGCGATGGCCGACAGATCATTAGGCAGAGCAAGGAAGACGCGGTGCGTTTCCCCGAAGTGAATTGAGAGGGTGGATAGTGCGTGTGCAATGGAATGGATTCTGAACAAGCGCAGTGTGTTGCGTTGCATAGCCACATTTAGGTAGTCGCGGCCACCGAGCCTGCATAGATACATTTTGTCACCTCTTTTAGTTGTCCGATTCGATGTGTCCCATCCTATGTGAACCAATGTGTTTAACTTCGGTCATCATCTTATGTGTCACTTTCAACCGGACACCTCGCAAATCACGCTAACGTCCACCTTACATCGGATTCCGACGATGCGGGTCGCGATGATGCGCACGGCGGCGTCTAGCGGCCGCTTCCGAGCTTTGTCGTCACTAAGAAATGGCTTAATACCTTCCTCTGGTCGCCAGCTATCTCCCACATGGAGTTCGCACACGTTGAATCTGCGTAGGCGACACTACAGCTCGAACAAGCCACCTCAAACTCCGTCGCACACTTCAGCGCCCGATATGAGCGAACCCGAGATGGTTTTGCGCCTCATGCGCAGCCAGCGCGTCTGGTGGTGGATGGGATCGCTGGTACTGGGCGGTGTGGGGCTCGTGGCCTTCGGGCCGGAGCTCAAGCTCGGTATGAGCAAGCACACGGCTGAGGTGGCGTCGCGCTCGCTACAGGACGAGACCCTGCGGGACAACACGCGAGAACTGGCGTCACAGATCGTACAGACGGTGTTGAATGACCCCAAAGTGCTGGATCAAGCCTCCAGATTCCTACAAAGGGTAAGGATACGCAGCAAGAGGCTTTGTGCTGTATTGATATGATTGCAACATTTTAGATGTCGAACTATATTAAAATGATGCAATCATTGTACGATAGAATGGAAACTGACTTTGATTTTTACAGCTTGTAGTGATGGAGTCGACTCGCGAAGCACTGCGGGCGTTGGTGATCCATACACTGAACGACCCGATGACGAGGACGCAAGTGGCGGACCTCACCAAACACACAGTGGCGGCTTTACTGGAAGACCCCAAGACACTGCGTCAACTGGTAGACTTGCTGCGGTCTACCGTGGTCGATCCACAGGCGAAGGAAGCCTTGTTGCTGCTATTGGAGCAGATTATGCGCGACGACCAGACACGAGCGAACTTGACGCAGTTATTGGCGCACACATTCCTGCAAGACGCAGTGAAGCAGAACGTGACCAAGACACTCGGAGACTCGGTGCACGATGTTTTGAGCCGTCGAGACATTCAGAATCACGCCAAGGAGTTCGTGAGTGGTGTGGTTCGAGACCAAACGGTGCAGGCTCAGAGTGGAGAAGCCATCTGGGGCACCTTCATGTACGCTCTGACGCCGAGTTGGCTGTCGTGGATCTGGGAGCACCCGGATAAATTGGCGAAGGACGAAGTTACGACCCCAGCAGCAGAAGCTGCGAAGGTTATGGTGGCTGCCACTGCTGCGGAGGATAAACTGGAGAAGGAGAAGAAGAAGGAAGCTGAGAAACAAGACGCAGCTGCAGAGACGAAGGACATTTCGAAGCTTAGAAAGAAGTTTTCGAGAAGTAAGAGCGCCGATCACGACAAGAGTTTAAAGAGGACGACGACTAAGCGTCTGACGCACCCGCATGAAGCTTCGACGGATCAAAACAGTGTGGATCCAGCGAAGACTGCATCATCACAAGCGGATTTCGCTGAGCGATACGAGGACCGACACTGGAGCGGCTCCGGCAGCGGATTTGTATGATCAATTACTAGATCGCTGAAGATTCCTCAAATTTCAATTCAATTACTGGACGAGTCCTCGGCGATCTGATCTCCTCTCCACGTACGTAATTCTTCGTGTTAGTTGACTAATTCGGGGGTCTATGTGTTGATAAACGCCTTAGAACCGACCGTAGACGAGCGAGTCCAGACGATGCACCTGCGTGAGAAGCTCGTTGTTCTGGCGTTTGAGTCGCAGTCTCTCGGCGGCCAAGAGTTGATTCTCTTCGTGTGCGATACCTAGTTGTTCTTGCAGTTGAGCTGCTGCTGCTTCGGCACTTTGAGCAGCGCGTTTCCACGACTCAGCCTTGCGTCGTGCGTGTCGGTATTCGTGCTCCGTGTGCTTGCGTTCTGCAGCGGCCACTCGTGCGCCGTCACGGAGAGTTTGGATCTCCTGTAGAAGCTCACGCTCACGTGCCTTGGCTTGAGCGTTCTCAAGTTCAAGCGCACGTAGTGCGGCCTCAACGCGCTGAAGAATGTGCAGCTCGGCTTGTGAGGACGCGCCTTCTTCATATACTGGAGGATCTCGACTGCGCCGTGAGGACTGCAGTGTCCGTGCTGATATGCGGAATGGCGAGGATAACGAAGAAGTGGTCAGTTTAACGCCTCCCTTGTGTCTCTCGTCGGACGCAGCGCTTCGTCGGATACCCCGTCTTCTGTATTGTGTAGGTTCGTGGTCATCATCGCTACCAAAGTTGTTGTTCTCACTAAAATCTCTCACGTTGTGGGTAGATCTGCATCGACGAGATCGATGTGGAGAATGTGGCGTGTCACTTTCGGAGGACGAGTATTCGGGACTAGAAATTCGAGTGCCGCTTCCTCTACGCCACTCACTTGTCGGCGGTATTGCTGTTGAGACGGAAGAGATTGACGATATCGAAGCTGAGTGTGCAGGCTCGAATACGAGCGGAGGTGAGCCACCGGAAGAATCAACCGTGTAGTCGAGATCGCTATTGTTGACTGCGGGTCGATCGTCGCAGCGTTCGCGGACTCGACAGACGACTGCTGGACGTTCCGGTAATGTATCAGAGATCTCTGATGCCATGTTTTCGTGTATAGTCTCCACCTCTGGTTGTGCTAGCTCCGAACTTGACATTTCACAAGAGCCTCGTCTCCTCAATGGGGAGTGATCTCTAATAATATTGGACTGCATAGAAGACGGTGTTGCTGCATCATTTGTGGACATCCTGCTCTCTCTACTTGCGGTTAGCTCGGCAACACTCGTAAGAGGTGAAGGTAGTGGAGCAACAGGTGAAGCTCCGGATCTGGTTGAAGAGCTGGAAGTTGGTCTTCGTTGCTGGTGAGCTTGCTGCTGGACACGTCGAACCTGCGTCATCCACTGCTGGCATTGAGCAGCCGACGGTGCCATGAGCTCTTCTTTCAAGACGTCTCCGCTCATAGTAGCCACTGGTGGGTAGTACTCGAGGTCGCATCGTGCTTTATTCTTCTTGGGCACGACATTGAGAAGCTGCGTGGCCAAGTCGATAGTGATGATCTCAGTTTCACTATCGCTTTCATCCTGGCTTTCTTCACCTCGTGGTGGGGACTGCAGTTCAAGTAAGAGCTTTCCGTCTCGTGCCACGATTGTGCAGCTGCATGGTGTCCACTCGAACAAGTTGGTCTCAGCGTTGCGCACTTTGCGCTTAAGTCTGAACCCGAGGCTCTCAGCCGTGCTGGACATTTGGTTTCAACTAGCCAGAGCACGGGCAACAAGGCTAGAGAACGCGGCTACGGGGCAAGAGGCAACTCGAATATATACAGGACCAAGTCCAAAGGATAACCAACGTCCATGCTATAATTAATACTGAGCAGTAATAATACTGCAAGTGGGAGGATCCATGACGGGATTAGCAACGACGGTGCGAAAAAGTAGGCACCAATGTCAGCCTGACAAGAAGTATTAATGAGTAATACATGTATTAGTCGGTGAAGCAATTAATATTAGTTCAAACCTGTAATCACTTATTACATACATGCGCTCGAAATCACATCAAACCTATATCGTTGCTATTACCTCGTATAAATGAAGCCTACGTAGGAATTCTCAGCCCACAATTTACTCGGCACCCGCAAGGCACACTTCTACTACAAGCTTAGATCAACATCAACATGCGCCTCACCTACGTCCTTGTTGTTATTTGCGCGGTCATTCTCCAAGCGAGCAGCACTGCGCTTCCCGCACCCAAAGCTTCAGAGGACGTGATCAAGAATGGCGATTCGCCTAGTAACTTCGATGGGCTTCAAGTAGATGAGGGACGACGTTTGCGAGGCTTCAGGAACTTTCTCAAAAAGGAATTCCTAGGGAAGTTGCCCTGGACGAAGACTTACAAGCAAAAAAAGAGAAACAAGCATAATGCCGGGGTTAATCGCCAGGAATCTAACATTCGGCATTCCGGGGGAATACCCAAGTACAACCCGCCAGAACTCTTTTAATGTCCTAGTACACACAGGAGTCGGGCAAACAAGCTAAAAACAATAAAGAGATGGAGAGTTGGTGTACTCCTGATATATACTCGGATGAACCTAATAATTCTTTCATCAACAGGTCTACTCATGTGAGGGTCGACAATCATCCAGCCCAAAATGTACGAGCACGTTTCGATTGTGTTTTAAAGATTTCTGGGTGAATTACTAAAATCAGAAGCTGGAATAGAAAAAGGAAAATAATATTTTTATGTTTGGATTAGAAAATGGAAAATCCAGTTTCAAGTACTTCCAAAGCTCTTTCAGGCCAATATTATCGATGGAGTCGCTACTCGCACGCAAATGAATCCGCGTTTACAGCGACTGCCGTTCCCGCGTGCGTATTCGAGACAAACGAGTTGCCGAGGCATTATTTGCTGAGAATGGCTGGTGTGATGGCTTATCATCACTAATTGACGTCGTTCTAACGACTCGTGAAGCTGAGAAAAGCAAAGCCTCTACCAGCATGTACAATACACTCTCGGGACAGAGATTTAGACCAACCTATCAAGTACAAGACATTCTTGGCAGAGGGACATGTACCCACGTTCTGCTCTTGCTAATCAAATCTGTAGCTCTAATAGTTTTGAGCTAGGTCTACAATGGAAGGACCCGGACAAGACTGGAGATAATGAACCAAGTCTCATATGTATTACAACGACTGTGTTGTGTTCTGTGGCAAGAAGGTGAGATCAAGAACCATGCTACACGATATAGAACTGATGGAGAAGGTGGAGAACTTGAGTCCAATATTCTATGGAGAACTTCCGTTTATCCTTGATTACGTTACTTGTGGGGATTTGCAAGCACTCTTTCACGTTGAACGACGACACCGCAAAATTATCTTGTTACCATTCGAGTTCTTGTCGGAATAATCAGTTAACTCTTCTGCAATCTGGCGTTCTCTCTTTACCCAAAGTGACAAACGTCCATCGATGTCGCCATTCCAACCCTTTGAGACCAATATGAGATCAATTGACTCGGTGAACACCACGATGCAACTTACTATTAGAAGCAGTAGTTTTACTGGCGGTGAGTTTAGAAGGGATGTAGACGTCTACAGACATTTGGAAAAGTTTGACGTGCGCTTAACGATTGGCCTTCAAGAAGTTGTGAAATTAGAGGTGGTGCACTTTAGGTCGCGCAAACTGGTGGTTCAGCTCATCCGGTCGGCTGCCAGGAGACATTGCCGAATTAAAAAAAAGTGGACTCGGCACATCCTAGGTGGATTGAGTCTATCGCACAAGAGCGGCTATTATCATGGCAATATTTGCTTGGAAAATATACTAAAATGCCCAATGATGTCGGGACGGTGGGTGCTTGTGAACATGGAGACGTCGGGTAAGTCAAATATGCTGGAGAAGAAGAGCGACTTGATTCGGTTGGGCGGTCTGTTGGACGCGCTTCATAAGCACAAATTTACGTTGACAAAAAAGTTGTTGGTCGCTCGGGATGCGCTTCTATTAGCTCGAACGGGGTCTGAGGTTGTGACTGCCCAGGAAGTGTAAGAGATGGTTCCTCCATTGTCGGAGAGTAATTACGATATTCTGCTTTATTTTCCTATTGACAAAATGCCAAATTACATATATTTTCTTTTCTCCTTGCTTCGATAACTTCATTATTCCACTTTTTAAAACGAAAGTTATAGTAATTCCCTACCAAGACTGGCGAGCACAACCATCGTCACCATTCTCCTTGCTGAAGTTCAGTGTTGACGACCGCTTCTGTATTTCAACTTCGAAGGATCCAGGAGCATCAACATCACCGCCGCTAATGTTGATGCTCTTTTCCGCTCGCGTCCCAGTTCCCTGTCCACAAAATGGACTCCACATTTGCTCACATTGCATTATCAGCAACACAGCTCAAACCCCCACTCACGTCGTACACCGTTAAGAATGATGCCAAAACGCTCAATCGGGAGCGGAAATATACGTGTTAATGATACGAGCGGGCTCACAGCCCACCCAGTCTACGTGGAACCATCGACATTATCAAGTTAACTACAGGAAGTACGCGCCGACAGCGACGACGACCGCCGCGACGGAGCCCATAGTCGCCGTCATTTGTGGCATGGCGTCCGACGAGCTGGAGAGCATGGATCCAGAGCGCGGAGCAATGGCACCGCCCGAGTTGCCCGTGGGGCCCGAGTCCGACTCTGTGCCTGAGCTGCTCTGAGCCGTGGCCTCGTCCTCCGACGAGCTCGAGTCGGTCGCGGAGCTCGAATCGCTGGCCGACTCGGACGTGGCCGACTCTGACGCTGACGACGTGGAGTTCGATGAGCCCGAAGCGTCCGCGACGTCTGCGCTGGTGCTGGCCGAAGCCGCAGTGGACGAAGCTGTGGACGCCGCAGTGGACGTCGCGGCGCTGGCAGTGGACGACGCCACAGCTGAAGACGTGGTGGAAGCCGAGGACGTCGTGGTTGTAGCGCCCGAGACGCTGGAGATGGCCAAGGCGGCGAGGAGCAGGACGTGGATCACCTTCATGGTACTTTATCTGGTGAGCGTATTAGAGACTGAAGCACGATTGACAAGTGATGATCTGCGATGTTCAGTGTGGCAAATTGCCACATGATGAAGGGAGAGGCCGGATCCTGATAGAGGCGAGACATTTGCATAAAAAAAAATGTGGAAATATGCCGAAATTTGTGCATAACTGTGATTTTGTATACCACATCGATGTGCCAGAATTATCGGCTGACTTGGCGTTTGTATGTCGGTCTGTCCACTTTTCTGATTGCTGGATATTTGTGTGGTCGACGGTTGTCCAATTGACAAACTGACGCACGGAGGTTTGCACCGCAGGCGTTGCAGTCGTTGGTTGTTGCTGGACTGGCACAGAAGCGAAAGACGATGGTCGTTTGTTGTTTGAGAGTTTGCATGGCGTCCGTCTTTCCATCGCCATCGTGGATTAAATTTTTTAATTCCTCTTGTCGCCGATGTTCAGGCGTGCTTGCTGCTGCTTTGGTAATAGCTGCTGTCTAACTGCTGTAGGCTGCAATGCAGCTGAAGAATAGTGGCGTTTGCCGTCGACATACGGACCATAAGGGTCCTTGATGTTAGCTAATCATATCCTGGCAAAATCCATCGGGCAGCGGAACCCGTCAGACACCGAAATTGGTTTCGAGTCTGAGAAAGTTGAGTCATTTGGAATACTTTTCACTTGACATTTTGCGCTGTTCGCTGCAACGCCAGAGCGAATACAAAAAGGAAAATCGATAATTGTGCCCACCTCGCTCTACTTTCTGCCTCACTCAATTTGTTTTAGGAAAACTCAACGGGGTAAAAAACAGAGCGAAAAACAAAGAACCAATTCTACTAGTAGTATAAACACAAAACTAAAACACTAAGCTCGTGTGCGTTGATGTAACACAACAATAAAAAATGTTGTAGTAGTTCAATAAAGTACTTGTAGCACACTAATACTTTGTCAAATGATTTCTTGGTTGAAAATTGTAATAGCGCTTCAAACTTTTGAAAATGTTACTTTATACTAGTAATTGTGTTGGTTAGTTATCCAAATCTCACTCCGCGCGTGCTCTTCGGTCCTGCAGAGCGTGGAGACCACGCTCGGACCCTCGCGTTATTAGAAGGGTGGCTTTCGCCGCTTGTTTGGTCGCTGGTTGATCTGTATAGATCCTTGGAATAGATCGTCGTAGAAGTAAGCTCTCCTCGTTGATAGGCGTGATTGCCCGTGTATGCCGAGTATGATCTACCATCACGCTGCTGGTTGGCATTCTGCGGAAAACGAGGTGCTGGTGTTGACGGAGAGGAGCTCACAGAAGCAGAGGACGCCTCAAGGCTACTCATGGCCATTTCCCATCCAGATTGTTGCTTGGCTTTAAGCAAGCAGCCCAAGCAAAAGTGAAGAGAGCATTGCTGGACCGCACCCGTGTCTGACACGTGCATGGTTATCTTCTTGGTAACACTGCACTTCGAACAAACCACTTGGCGGCAGATTTGGCATGGCGTTCCCGATCCTGATGACGTTAGTGAAAACTTGCAAAAACTTTTGTCACAAGCCTCACAATGACTAACATGCGCTTGGTTTTCGTCTCCAGACTGACGTTTGCTTGTGTGTTTCATGAGCCATCGGAGTTTCTTGATGTACGCGTAGTCCACCACACCGGCACAGCAAATCGCAGCTTCGGCAGCGATTGAGACGGATAGGCGCCCCGGCATATCACCGCGAGAGTCGAAGAAACCGCGACAAAACACGTCGACTTTACCAGGCCCTCCTTGACGGAAGAGGTAGCAGAAACTCATTACTCCTCGAACAATACCCAAGTGGGTGAGTTCCGGAATGTCCCGTAATGTTACGGAATGCATTAGGAAGTATCCGACTCTCTCACCTTTCGAGTCTTTTGTGAATCCCGACGATTCCATGATGAGAAAATCTCGCTGTTGCACGATCCCCGTAAGCACCACTGGGTGCTCTTTCGCAAACCATTTCACTCCAAGAAAACGACAGGGATCAGTACGAGTGGGTCCTCGGATAGACGCTAGAATCCGAGCATCATCGAGACGGTCGTTGATGTGCGAACTTCGCAGCTTCCAAGCCTCGTCGGTAGACGCGAAGCATCCAAACATACAGTCGTCCAAGGTTCCGTCCATAGAGCCGTGTAGGGCCATTAGGGCTACTCCATGTGGTCTCATTTTCTCCATGATACTGTCTCCAGCGACCCCGGACGAGGAGGACAAGGATGTGTTCCTGTCAGCTCCAAAGTCGATACTACTGCTACTCAAGGTGCGGTATCGTGAGTATTCGTGCTCTTTAGACCACGACGGACTTTGGAGCACAGGCGAGCACGAGTCGGTTCCTCGTTGGTTGATCGCCTTTTTCCGTTGTCGATACACTTGCAGTCCTTCCTTCGCGCGAACTAGTTTCCAGTATGGATGGCCAAGCGTACCTCCGTCAGCGATGAAAGCTTCATTCGCAGCAACGATCTCCTTCACAACGGTGTCTGCTTCCTCGGTCAATGCAGCCTGGTGTTCATTAGACAGCGTGATAGCAGGGAATGCATTTTTCGGAAGCGTGAACTTCATCGCTCCGAGTCTTTTTCCGAAGTGAAGAACTCTACGCTATCTCGGAGGAGAGGAGTCGTAGCCACCCAAAGGATCTCCAATCCTGAGCTCCCAGTTCTCCTTTGTCTCACCAGATTCTTGCCGTTCACCATCAGCGTGTAATCCCAGCATAATCCAAGCAAGACTATGTATGGGCTTGGATACAAAGAGAAAACAAAGCTTTGAAAAGCAAAACAGAATCGTTGAGTTTCGATTTGAAGTTGTAATACATGTACGCCGATAGGGGAGAACATTTCTCGGTCGCACATTACGCTTTGCAACTTGTAAATAGGTTCCTCTACATGCCCTCTTTGGCGGTACGTGCATCCTACTAGTACACTTGTATCGGAAATGTGGCAGAAATCACAGCAGAAAAACACATCGATGAAGAACAAGTGGGTTGGGTGGAAGAACGAACACGCACAGCTGGAGGATCTTGAGTTGAAGATTACGCTATACTTGGATACACGCTGCATGGTGCAATACGACAACCTCGAAGCCAACGAACTTCTTATCACCTCTTTTTGCATTCTTTATGTGAAAATTGCACGTAAGGGTTATCTTTCGGTAAGGCCGATGACGTTTCGTTGCTTCGTGACAGCACCACTTATTGTCCTACCAAGTTGGTAACACACCGCATTTTCCATTTTGCCTGCTTCTACTCGCATGAAGGCACCGATTTCCGTGCTTCGAAAGCATCATCGAGAGATTGAGTTTTCAGCCAGCACGAAACTACGACGACCCAGAGTTGACGACCCCATCGACAAGTGGATGATCCCAATCAA